TATATAAAACCTGCGCCCTATAGTCAGGTGCAATGCCGCACATAACTGAGACTGCGTCTTTTAGTACGGTGCGCCTTATTGTCGTGAAAATACGGGTAATTAAAAAAATAATAATTTCATGACTTTCAATTATTTTTATTGACCCACTGAAACCCTGAAATCTACATAAGATCTCTTGCTACTTTCTTAACCTACATTCAGTGTTTTGACCCAGTTCTTCATCCCAATCTGCTCTCCTACCATCTGTGAGAGCAGCACCAGGTTTCTCCTTGACATCCCAGGCTGCGAGCTGACATCTCTTCTACCATCACTGGTCCCCCTCTGCTGCAAGTGTGTCAGTGGTCAGAGGGGGCCGCCTCTATTCACGGGGCTATTTTTAGCCTCTGAGCTAAACTACTGTACGGCTCTAGCAATATGAGACCTGAATAGGCCTGAGTCACGCAGCCATTGTCTCATGACCCTCTGTGTGGAAAGCTTTGTCCCTCCCCTCTGAGCACAAGCACTAATAACTTCTGGTTCTCTCTTTTTACAGCCTGAGAGGGGTCTTCAACTGCTCTTTTTTTCTTCCCTCTAGCTATTTTTATCCAGTCAGCAGTAAATATAGCTTGGATTGCATTAAAGCAGATGGCTGCTACAATGAGCCTGATCCTACAAATTTAACCGCATTTCCTTCTAGAGCCCAGTGAAAAAAGTATTCAAACCAATAGGGATATTTTCAGCTTTTAATGGATTTTTTTCTTACTCAATATAGAGAAACAAAATGCATAGCTTTTCAATCTTTAACAGAGAAATGGAGCTGAATGATGAGTAACAACCTTAAGCTTAGATTAGAATAGGCTCTATGCACAACTCCACCACTTCCTGAACTTCAGGAGGCTCCTTTGCTTCCTGTCTTTCATGATTGGATGCACTGATTTATCCAAGTGTGTATGACCTAAGTAACTGGCCAGACACACCTGGATTAATCAGTTCGTCCAGTAATGAAAGACAGGAAACAAAGGAGCTACCTTAAATTCAGGAAGTAGTGGAGCTGTGCATAGAGCCCATTGTTTACATTGACAATTGTGTAGAATGGCACGGTTAAAAGTGCAGATTTAAAAGAATAATCTGCAGACTTGATCATGTTAACTGGAGCTCTCCATCCAGTCTGAGCTTTATGCATTTTTCAAAGTATAAACAAGACAAGATGTTCAGTCCAGGTAGAAAAACTTTCAGCTGTTTTAAGATAAAATGCATTCTGCACGGGTAAATAACCAACTCTGACTGTTCTCGTCTGATTCTTTGCTGCCTTCTTTTAAACGATCTTTCCTCTTCGTGCAAAAGTCTGCATGCTGCAGAAGTTTGACTCCTGCCAAAGGAGCAGCGTAACCTGCCAAACCCTCCGGGTCAGTGAGCTCTGCTGAGCAGAAGCTGTCATAAAAGCACGCCTCGGTACTTCCTTTAAAGAGTGTCTGCAGTTACTGGAAATCATGGAGACAGAACAAACTGGATAAGTGTTTGTTTGGTTTTATTTCTTTCAGTTTCACATGGCCAACTGCAGCCAACTTTGCACAATAAATAAAATCCATTAAATTAACAACACATAAAAACATCCAACCTCTGAACAAGTTGTCATTAAGAATCTAACAGCAACAGGAGAAAAAAAACTTTCCCTTTTTCTTAAGTTAAAGTGACAATTCTTAAATAGCATTAAATAAATGCAACTCTAAAGTAATATTTGTTTTTTTTTTTATTGGTTGAACTTTTCACAGGAAAGGTCCAAAAAAGCTGAGCGCTGACATGTCCGCCCCTGCTTGGTCCAGTTCCTGGAGTGTTGTCAGCTCTCCCCCCTCTCTCTCCATTCAGAAGCTGCACATGTGCTCACCACGCCGTGCGCTCGTTCTGCTCACATGATGCCCTTTTCCTTGTGAAAGGACTCTTTCTCGGCAGTCATACGGAAATCCTGAGAACGCGGACTGCTGAGTCACTCTTCCTTCACCTGCCGGTTCATCCTGATGCTGGAAATTTGCTGAAACCTTCTCTAATTCATCCCCTTCTCTCCTAACTGTTCCTTAGCTGTCTGGGTGGCTGCTGAGGAAGGGGTCGGGGGGCAGGAGGAAGGGGTTTGGGGGGCTTTCAGATTAAGTCCAACACAGACATGAACGCAGGCTTTTTTTTAAATTTCCCCCACGGTTTGCAAACGTTACAGATGACGATAATCCAAAGCTTTCATCGGTCGGGCAGGTTGATGACCGGCACCCACTGATCCAAACAGCGGCAGTCCCTGCAGAATCTGCTCACTTTGCTCAGTGCAGGGTCCTTCCACAGGGCTGCCTGCGGGTTCTGCAGAAACAAAGCAGAATGGTGAGTTAATGCTGCTCTAAAATGATCACACTGCAAAACGCAGACACTGACATTGCAACCTGCTCAGTCCTTGGCAAAGCTACATAGCTGCAGCGATTAATCAGACTGCTAATGAGTATTACAGCACAGTGAACCAACATGAGCAACACTTACAGTCACTAGAATGCAGTGCATGTCCATGGGCTCCCCTCCGGGCTTCACTCCGCCCAGGATTTCTGCCAGACGCCTCATGTTGCCCACTCGCAGGATGTTGATGTCATTTTCACAGCAGAATGCCTGGATCAAGGTGAAGTGGATCTGCAGGGCCACATCCTCCTCATCATCTGTAGCCAGGAGGCAAAGCACCACATTGTCTGGATCTCTAGAATAAAAAAAAAAAAAGAGGAGTGAGAAGATCATCATTGATGTTTTTATACCTTTTTGTTTATTTTGCACGCAGGATCTGATGGACTTACGCGTTTAGTGACTTTGCAGCCTCATAAACTCCGACTGTGATGCAACCCTGAGGCAAGGCGGAGCTCAGGACCTCCTCCAAGGCTTCAGCCACCGATTCCATCCTGCAGGGAAGAGGAGGTCTTGGATCAATGTATTGAAAGTTTTTGCAGAAGTTGTTCACTTCTTTAAAGGGACCGTTATTGATTTAACGTCGCATTTGATCGCAACTGCCGCCTGGGATGCTAATGCTAACTAGCTTGACTTTAGTGTAGCAAACAGTTGGAGCAACGTCACACCGTTAAAAAGCTACAAATAAGAAAAAACTCGACGTATAAAAACAGAAATGCTGAAATCAAAATAAAATATATTTATTCTGTGTATAAATTCAGATGCTGACCTTTCTACTGAGTTTTCTCCTCCGGTTTCCTCAAAAGTCATATTGCACATCCAGGCGGTTCGGTGTCCTAAAGGGTCCAGAGCGGGTGGAGAGCTCCTGTCGGTGCGGCCGGGATGCTCGCTGTTTGCCGGTGAACTGTGTGTTCCCTGTCAGTAACTCAGCCTCTGAGCCCCACTACTCATTAACATGAAGGACTCCTATTGGCTGCTGGTCGGCAGCATGCAAATACACCGCCTGACTTCCAGCCAGTTCATCCCCGGACCCGCGAAGAAGACATGTGCGCCTGTGTTTCTGTGAATCTAGCGCCCTCCAGTGGTCAAATTAAAGAAGACAACCTGTACCAGTTCCTACATCCCAGGATTGTGTGGAAACTATAGATTTTAGATTATAGATACAATTATAGATTTATAGATGATTTTATTATTTTATTTTTTATTTAACCTTTACTATTGAGATTAAAAACCTCTTTCAAGGGAATATTGGCCAAGAGGCTGCAAAGTTAAATAATAAACAGAGATACATTAAATTAAATGACAGGTACATAAAAAACATATCAAGTAAAACAATTAAAGTTCTTTCACTTTTAACTTAAAAGCATTTAAAGATAAATATTCCATGCACAAAGAGGAGCTGTGTAGCTAGAGGCTTTTTCCCTAGTTCTGTGCGAGCAAAAGGAACATTAATCGTAAATAAAAGTGTACCAATATCACTGCCTTCTGGTAGACAGGAAAAGCCATCCCACCTGAGAGTAAAGGTCACAGTGATGTCATGGCTTCACAGTTTGTGATGAACCTTAATTAATGAAGCATTTGAAGACATAAAGAAGTAGAATTCTTATTTAAAAAAATTCACCATAAGACCGTTAAAAACGTGGCAGAGACAAGGCACCTTTTTTTTTTAACTCTAAAATAAAAACATGAAAGAAGAAGCCCAGTTTAACTTTTAATTTCTTCACAAGTTTATCAATAAAAGGTTTGAAGGTGTGGGAGTCATCAATTAAAATTCCAAGGTATTTATATTCATGTAGCACCTCAATGACATTCCCCTCCAGAGTGAACAATGCTGGCAGGGTTTGAGGCACCTTCCTGTGATTTGAAAACATTCATTTTATTTTGTCAGCATTAAGAAAAGGAAAAAAAGCAATAAATAATGGTATCATCAGCGTAAAAATGCATATTTAATGAGATAAATTTTGTTCAACATTGTTGATGTACAAGATAAATAAGAGGGGGCCCAAAACAGATGCTTGTGGCACACCTTTGTGAACAGTAACACATTCAGAACAAAGCCCTTCACATTTTATATACTGGAACCTGATCACTGATAAAACGAAGTTTCGTGCATCCATTTTTAATTCTCAACAGTTACATTTTGAATCATAAAAATATATGAAACATTAGGCTATTTGTAATAATGAACTTTAGCTAATTATTCCTTCTATCTGCAGATATTTAATAGCCCTGATCAAAACAGATTTACTGTACGTAATAAAGGAAGTAGGGAAAAGATTATTTCAGCATGTTTCATTTTACTGTTATATTATCTGTTTAGTAACTAAAAGCTTAATCTACACCAGAATCTGCTTGGAAGGTGGTTTGGTGTTTCCATCCCATAATTAGAGGAAATCTAGAAATATATATTTTCTTGAGTTTTACCTGAAACATACAGCCCCCAGAAAAAACTGAGCAAAAACAAATCTGCCTGTTTTTCAATTATCCATCCATCCATCCATCCATCCATCCATCCATCCATCCATCCATCCAT